AATACCCATTATCTCACTATTAGCGGCTTGTGTACTAACACTTGGGAGTGGATGAGATAAACCAATGTTTTCAACTGAACGACAACATTAGGTGTAGAGGTTGCAAATCCCACTTGACCTAAATCTGACAAGTCAATAAGAGCATGGTCCAGATTATCTGGAGGGGACTCAACCCGAGATCATGCGCCATGGAATATAAATCACTTGTCTCCCCTGAAGCCATTTTGTTTGATTATAGATGCTGCAAAAACTTTACAATTCTGCTTCTAAACGCACTCTATAAATGTACTTTACGACCTCTAATCTGTTTCAACAGGCTATGCAGGATCTGTATGATGAAACAGACCTTGATTCACATAATAAAACTACAAAATGTAATACTTTACTTGTTTCTTACACGGAAACAATGTTACTTATTCTGACAAGAATCAACCAGTTTTCACTAAGAAAATGACAAACAATCCTGGTCATGGCACCAAATCTGTAATAGGCGCCTCCGCTGAGGGAGGTCACCCAGTGACAGAAAGGTTTCATATATCAAGGTTCGATGTTGTTATTTAACGCTCTCCATTGTGGACCTTGTGTTGTGTATTTTAATTAGATGTTTATCTTGTACCTGGAGAACGGAACCTTTCATGGACCTTATTTCAGGTTCTATGGTAGTTCAAGTCATTGTTAAAGATTCTTCACAAAATAAGAACAAAGTTCAGATTTCACCAAATAAATACAGTTTATTAATTAATAAAAACAAACTAAGCCAAACTCAACAAAATAAACAGAAGCCAGCATCACATATACTCACAACCATCAGTCTGTGAAACCCAAAGAAAAAGAAAGTCCTAACTAATTAATTCCTACATACAAAGCCTACTCTAATCCTATCGTTTTCCCCAACCCGCTAAATATTCTCCTACTCTACATGCAAAATAATCTTACACAAAACCTAAGGAAAGGAGGAAGACCTCCCGACTTACTGTTCGGTCAGGATGTCCTGAAGCAAGTGACTTCTCTGAGTGCTACAGGCCCTTAAACACCCCGTGCACTAACCTTTGACCCAGAAGAAGTAGCCGAACTCCCATTGGCCCGCAATGGAGTCAGCCAACCAATCATGACAGCTCTACCATACCGCACTCGGAATGCAAACAGAAAACACAACGGGCCATGGCAATCTGAGCACGGCATGGCATCGCATGCCCTGACTGTAAACTGTCCGGGAAAGGAATAATTCCAACGGAATTTTACAGCCAAACGAAGGTAAAAAGCGGAATTTTATACACTACAAGCAACCTCTGAAGAAATCACTTACTCCCGGAAACTGCTACGTAAAACTTCCCACTAAAAATATATATTACAACCCCAATAATGTGAAAAGAAAATAACTTTCATTCCCATCCCAAAAAACATTTTCCTACACTAGCAAGCAATTTCTTCCACTTGCGAAAGCTTGAAATAAATTCTGTTATCTGACAAGCATCGCCTTTGATATAATTGTAGATGCAGCTGTTTTCAACAAAATACTCCGATTACGATACAAACCATGCATTTCCCATAGCTTTGCTTCCAAATCACCTCGTGTAGTGCGCGAAAACAGTAGCAAACGAGATCCGAATTGACACAAAACTTGAACGGGCCTTCAAGTGAAACATGAATCCAATTGATTTATAGATTATTAGAGTGTTATTTTGATTCAAGTATCAAATGTTTTAGGTCTGCAAACGTGTTCTTGGTGGCATATTAGTATTGTCTGTCAGCTCCAACAATATCTACAGACATTATTGAATTATTAGCTAAGTGCTCACTTCGACGTTACCGCTTTTTAACTTTCAGCTTTTTGACGCACAGAGCGTTCCGGTGTAAGATTGGAAACATACCTGCGTTGAAAAGGCATCCATCGACTCGCTTTCTCTCTCTCTAAAACCTACCATACAAATGGTAAACAAATCATCAAAACTGAACTCATATACAGAACAAAAATCACCAAAATAGGAAAATAAACATCCAAAACTGCAACAATATCATATAAAACCGAAACAATACATCTGTAACGGAAGACTAATTGTTTGAAATAGAAACAAAACTTGCGTATTCAGCTACAAGGGCGCGCAAAAACGGTCGCCGAGCATACAAAATGACATTCATAGCATCTCGAAACGGCATACAAATCTTCAAATATGGCGGCGAGGGGAGACGAATAGGCTTTCGTACATAATGTTTTTTGTATCTATGAGTCTAATCTTGAAAATTTGATATCAGGATGTAACGCACAATGTGGTCCCTCGATCGACCGAATAGGATTTGTTGTCAACATCTCTGATACAATCGGAGGTTTACATATGCATCTTCCATTGTAAACTAGGGAAGAGAAGTAACCACGTACAAACGAACAAGGAAACACCCTTTCCTGAAAAAATATTCGTGTGTTTTGTGTTATTTTTCCCTAACGGTAATTTGATGTCAAACGGATGCTCGTGTTGTCCACATTAAGATACACGGTAAAACTATCTAATTGTTTAATATCTATTCAGGGCATTATTTAAATGGTAAAATCAGTTTATTATCTGTCGAAAGAGTTACAAATTCTGACTGTGTAACCTAGATATTTGTTTGGACAATCACGGAAATATAAAGATATTAGAGAGGTTGAGAAGCGTTACGTGTACATGTACACATAGTGTGATCAGGGGATTCCACTAAATGCTTCTTTATAAAACCCAGCTGAATAGACTGTTGTATTGTTAAGATAGTGTGTTAAAATAACTATCAAGGTATCATCCAGTGATAAATTAGTGACCAGTTTTTGTGAAATATATAACGCAATTTTTGCATCCGTCTAGACCCGAGAGTTAACCTATCGCTAAAGGTAGGTCATCATTAGAATCGTCGATATTAATTATTTATCATGAGAGTTTGTTCCAGACATGTGTCTTTATGAATAATTTCGTATTTCAGTATGGCAAAACGAAAGTCAGGTTTCCTGAAAAAGACTATGTCAAATTGCTGAGGGAAGTGTTGGCTGCCAACCCGTTCAAAGACAAGGGAAAATGGCAAACACCAACAGACAAATTGATAAGTACACCGTCAGACTTCAAAGTCGATGCTAGGCGAGTTAGGGAAAGGACGCACTTGATGTTAGGCCAAATCAAAAAGAAAATTGAGGAAGATTTGAAAAGATTATAAATGATATTTAACATCAGATTCTAATCAGCATATGCATTTAATCTATAACATTTGAATTAAAACGTAGATCAGTTAAAATCCGCCGCTAATATAACAAAAACAGCCCAAATCTATTTCCTTATATTGATAAAAAAAATATAATCTACGTACCGACACAATACATTTTGAATAATGCAAAAAAAGCGATTGTACGAGTAAAAAGAGTACTGCATGTTTTCAACAGGACATTTATTATTAAAACTTTTACAGAAAATTTGAAATTATTTATTAATTCAAGTTAAATTAAATAGGAAATCTTAGAGTAATCCTTTTTCGATATTTAAATTTTAGTAAATCATTACAATATCACAGTATTATGACACCACTGATAATAATTATTGTTTTCCAGCTCTGGCAAAATAGACAAATATGACGAAAAGATTGCTCTATTGGACGAAATAACAGAACTCAAGGAGGCAGAGGATAGGAATCTTGAGGAGGAAATGTCTAAGAAAATTGCGATTGAGAATAAAGGGAAAGAAACCAGAAAGAGGGCTATGGAGGGTATGAGTAAACGTTAGTGATCCTTTCCTGAATATAAAACATAAAATCTGAAACATCTGAATTAAGGTAAACTTATACAAAGTAACAATGGTTTATCGAAGTTTTTGTTGTTTTTGTGACACGTAGGGTCTTAAATATGTATTTGTGTGTCCTCTAAATTCAGATCACTCGGATGAGACAACCCCTACTAAGAGGAGAAGTAGTACCAGCGTACTAGACTACTTGACTAAGTCAGAGCAGGAGGCAGAGCTGAGAAGACAAGCACTGGATATGAGGAAGGAGGAATTGAAACTTGAGAGAAAAGATTTGAGCAGGAGAGAGAAGAGGGGAGACAGAGAATGGAGATGGAGAGCAAAGAAAAGACAGCGTTGTTTGAACTCTTACAAAAATTTAGTAACGAATAATTATTAAGAATGAAATGTACTACACATTCAAGAGAATGAATGTGTAACTTGAACTGTACATGTAACAGATTTGCATTGAATAAATATACTAGACATTGGAATGTACAGTTATCTTTACAATCAATATTTCAGTACCAGGGTCCCGTTCCTCAATTCGACCGTAGCGCTACGACAGTCGTTAGTCTGTGTTAAAGTATGTGAGTTACGATCACCTTAGCGCTACGATCGCTTTCACGAACGGGGCACATGCATAGCTGGCGTATTCGCAAAGGAAATTGCCTACAAATAAGTGTTGTAACATTGAAAGCACTGTGTCTTCATTTCTGGTGTCTCCCACCGTGATGTCTGCCTTTTTGTCATATCAGAATGTAGCAGCTATATATATTAGTTCATTTATTTTTCTACATGACAATAGATGTTTCAATCGGCGCGTTAAGAGAAAGTCATTGAAATAAATGTTTTAAGTAGTCACTTATTCGTAATACTCAACACCGCTCCAACATTTGCTGCACTTTTGTATCGGATGAATGAATCCAAGCGGCTGCATGTGCTATTAATTAGATCTAGAGTGTAACGTCACAACAACCTCGCAGAGGTAATACTATGACGTCATCAGCAGTGTGACGTCACTTTACATTTGGCGCCACGTCAGTTGGCGAACCTCGGATCAGTTCGAGGTCACAGAGTGCAGCGAGATGTAAACAAACAGTTTGTTGTTGACTGTTTCACGATTAATGATAAAATTATGGCACATAATTAAAACAGAACTACATGACGAGATGCAGGGTTCATATACGAACGATATATCATCAATATTTACAGTCAACAATATTCTCACCTGATCATGTAAAGTTCCATAAACAACAAAATGTCTGAAAATGTTCTCAACAAGTTTTATTTCTCCTCAAACACAACAAATATTCTCACCTTCATACTGAATTATACACAACGCAACAAAGTGAACGGCACACACCACGTCAGTGTCAGTAACTATATGTCCTCCATCACTGTCTACATCAACACTACATTCACTTCACTGTGTACCACGTGACACCAGGAGATCCGACAGTTGAAGATGTCCCCCTCCTCCTGCCACATCAGCCGCCGTCTTCCCATAGTTGTTCCTGACATTGATGTCCACCCCGTCCAGAGACAGGACAAACTCCACTGTCTTCCTGTCTCCTCCCATACAGGCGCAGTGAAGGGTGTTGTTACCGTCATCGTCCACCAGTAACACTTCAGCACCTCGACTCACAAGGAACACCACCACACCCATGTGTCCCTCAAGTGCTGGCCACATCACCAGTGTCCTGCTCCTCTCTCCTCTACTGTTGATGTCCACCCCGTCCAGAGACAGGACAAACTTCACTGTCTCCCTGTCTCCTCCCACACAGGCCCAGTGAAGGATGTTGTTACCGTTCAAGTCCACCAGTGACACATCAGCACCTCGATTCACAAGGAGCTCCACCACATCCTTGTGCCGCCTCACTGCTGCCACCATCACCGGTGTCCTGCTCCCCAGTCCTCTACTGTTGATGTCCACCACGCCCAGAGACAGGACAAACTCCACTGTTTTCCTGTCTTCTCCCATACAGGCGTAGTAAAGGGTGTTGTTACCGACATTGTCCACCAGTGACACGTCAGCACCTCGACTCACAAGGAGCTCCACCACATCCCTGTGTCGCCTCACTGCTGCCACCATCACCGGTGTCCTGCTCCCCAGTCCTCTACAGTTGATGTCCACCCCGTCCAGAGACAGGACAAACTCCACCGTCTTCCTGTCTCCTCCAAGACAGGTGCAGTGAAGGATGTTGTTACAAATGAGCTATCACAATCACTATGATAAACCCTATCACCTGTCCAGTTAGAATCTATCAAAGAAGTATTCGACATCGGACCAGGAACCAACCCTGTTGCTGAAGGTGCCCTCTGATTGTATCTACAGAATTCATTCTGCAAGTCAAAGTGTCTATCTACAAATGGAACACCAAAATGTACAGAACGTCTATCCTGTCTATCACTCCTACCATAAGCTGACCCTTGCTGAAAATTCAGCATTGCTTCATTCACAGATGATGAAATACCCATTATCTCACTATTAGCGGCTTGTGTACTAACACTTGGGAGTGGATGAGATAAACCAATGTTTTCAACTGAACGACAACATTAGGTGTAGAGGTTGCAAATCCCACTTGACCTAAATCTGACAAGTCAATAAGAGCATGGTCCAGATTATCTGGAGGGGACTCAACCCGAGATCATGCGCCATGGAATATAAATCACTTGTCTCCCCTGATGCCATTTTGTTTGATTATAGATGCTGCAAAACCAAGAACTTTACAATTCTGCTTCTAAACGCACTCTATAAATGTACTTTACGACCTCTAATCTGTTTCAACAGGCTATGCAGGATCTGTATGATGAAACAGACCTTGATTCACATAATAAAACTACAAAATGTAATACTTTACTTGTTTCTTACACGGAAACAATGTTACTTATTCTGACAAGAATCAACCAGTTTTCACTAAGAAAATGACAAAACAATCCTGGTCACGGCACCAAATCTGTAATAGGCGCCTCTGCTGAGGGAGGTCACCCAGTGACAGAAAGGTTTCATATATCAAGGTTCGATGTTGTTATTTAACGCTCTCCATCGTGGACCTTGCGTTGTGTATTTTAATTAGATGTTTATCTTGTACCTGGAGAACAGAACCTTTCATGGACCTTATTTCAGGTTCTATGGTAGTTCAAGTCATTGTTAAAGATTCTTCACAAAATAAGAACAAAGCTCAGATTTCACCAAATAAATACAGTTTATTAATTAATAAAAACAAACTAAGCCAAACTCAACAAAATAAACAGAAGCCAGCATCACATATACTCACAACCATCAGTCTATGAAACCCAAAGAAAAAGAAAGTCCTAACTAATTAATTCCTACATACAAAGCCTACTCTAATCCTATCATTTCCCCCAACCCGCTAAATATTCTCCAACTCTACATGTAAAATAATCTTACACAAAACCTAAGGAAAGGAGGAAGACCTCCCGACTTACTGTTCGGTCAGGATGTCCTGAAGCAAGTGACTTCTCTGAGCGCTACAGGCCCTTAAACACCCCGCACGCTAACCTTTGACCCGGGAGAAGTAGCCGAACTCCCATTGGCCCGCAATGGAGTCAGCCAACCAATCATGACAGCTCTACCATACCGCACTCGGAATGCAAACAGAAAACACAACGGGCCACGGCAATCCGAGCACGGCATGGCATCGCATGCCCTGACTGTAAACTGTCCGGGAAAGGAATAATTCCAACGGGATTTTACAGCCAAACGAAGGTAAAAAGCGGAATTTTATACACTGCAAGCAACCTCTGAAGAAATCACTTACTCCCGGAAACTGCTACGTAAAACTTCCCACTAAATACATATATTACAACCCCAATAATGTGAAAAGAAAATAACTTTTATTCCCATCAAAAAAAACATTTTCCTACACTAGCAAACAATTTTTTCCACTTGCGAAATCTTGAAATAAATTCTGTTATCTGACAAGCATCGCCTTTGATATAATTGTAGATGCAGCTGTTTTCAACAAAATACTCTGATTACGATACAAACCATGCATTTCCCATAGCTTTGCTTCCAAATCACCTCGTGTAGTGCGCGAAAACAGTAGCAAACGAAATCCAAATTGACACAAAACTTGAACGGGCCTTCATGTAAAACATGAATCCAATTGATTTATAGATTATTAGAGTGTTATTTTGATTCAAGTATCAAATGTTTTAGGTCTGCAAACGTGTTCTTGGTGGCATATTAGTATTGTCTGTCAGCTCCAATATCTACAGACATTATTGAATTATTAGCTAAGTGCTCAATTCGACGTTACCGCTTTTTTAACTTTCAGCTTTTTGACGCACAGAACGTTCCGGTGTAAGATTGGAAACATTGACTCGCTTTCTCTCTCTCTAAAACCTACCATACAAATGGTAAACAAATCATCAAAACTGAACTCATATACAGAACAAAAATCACCAAAATAGGAAAATAAACATCCAAAACTGCAACAATATCCTCTAAAACCGAAACAATACATCTGTAACGGAAGACTAATTGTTTGAAATAGAAACAAAACTCGCGTATTCAGCTACAAGGGCGCGCGTGAACGGTCGCCGAGCATACAGAATGACATTCATAGCATCCCGAAATGGCATACAAATCTTCAAATATGGCGGCGAGGGGAGACGAATAGGCTTTCGTACATAATGTTTTTTTGTATCTATGAGTATAATCTTGAAAATTTGATATCAGGATGTAACGCACAATGTGGTCCCTCGATCGACCGAATAGGATTTGTTGTCAACATATCTGATACAATCGGAGGTTTACATATGCATCTTCCATTGTAAACTAGGGAAGAGAAGTAACCACATACAAATGAAGAAGGAAATACCCTTTCCTGAAGAAATATTCGTGTGTTTTGTGTTATTTTTCCCTAACGTTAATTTGATGTCAAACGGATGCTCGTGTTGTCCACATTAAGATACACGGTAAAACTATCTAATTGTTTAATATCTATTCAGGGCATTATTTAAATGGTAAAATCAGTTTATTTTCTGTCGAAAGAGTGACAAATCTGACTGTGAAACCTAGATATTTGTTTGGACAATCACGGAAATATATAGATATTTGAGAGGTTGCGAAGCGCTACGTGTACATGTACGCCTAAGTGTGATCAGGGGATTCCACTAAATGCTTCTTTAAAAAACCCAGCTGAATAGACTGTTGTATTGTTAAGATAGTGTGTTAAAATAACTATCAAGGTATCATCCAGTGATAAATTAGTGACCAGTTTTTGTGAAATATATAACGCGTTTTTGGTAGCCGTCTCTATCACTAAAGGAAGGTCATCATTAGAATCGTCGATATTAATTATTTATCATGAGAGTTTGTTCCAGAAATGTGTTTTTATGAATAATTTTGTATTTCAGTATTGCAAAACGAAAGTCAGGTTTCCTGAAAAAGACTATGTCAAATTGCTGAGGGAAGTGTTGGCTGCCAACCCGTTCAAAGACAAGGGAAAATGGCAAACACCAACAGACAAATTGATAAGTACACCGTCAGACTTCAAAGTCGATGCTAGGCGAGTTAGAGAAAGGACGCACTTGATGTTTGGCCAATTCAAAAAGAAAATTGAGGAAGATTTGAAAAGATTATAAATGATATTTAACATCAGATTCTAATCAGCATATGCATTTAGGAATTAAATCGTAGATCAGTTAAAATCCGCCGCTAAAATAACAAAAACAGCCCAAATCTATTTCCTTATATTAACAAAAAAAATATAATCTACGTATCGACACAATACATTTTGAATAATGCAAAAAAAAGCGATTGTACAAGTAAAAAGAGTACTGCATGTTTTCAACAGGACATTTATTATTAAAACTTTTACAGAAAGTTTGAAATTATTTATTAATTCATGTTAAATTGAATAAGAAATCTTAGAGTAATCATTTTTCGATATTCAAAGTTTAGTTAATCATTACAATATCACAGTATTATGACACCACTGATAATAATTATTGTTTTCCAGCTCTGGCAAAATAGAGGAATATGACAAAAAGATTGCTCTCTTGGACGAAATAACAGAACTCAAGGAGGCAGAGGATAGGAATCGTGAGGAGGAAATGTCTAAGAAAATTGCGATTGAGAATAAAGGGAAAGAAACCAGAAAGAGGGCTATGGAGGGTATGAGTAAACGTTAGTGATTCTTTCCTGAATATAAAACATAAAATCTGAAACATCTGAATTAAGGTAAACTTATACAAAGTAACAATGGTTTATCGATGTTTTTGTTGTTTTCGTGACATGTAGGGTCTTAAATATGTATTTGTGTCCTCTAAATTCAGATCACTTGGATGAGACAACCCCTACTAAGAGGAGAAGTAGTACCAGCGTACTAGACTACTTGACTAAGTCAGAGCAGGAGGCAGAGCTGAGAAGACAAGAACTGGATATGAGGAAGGAGGAACTGAAACTTGAGAGAAAAGATTTGAGCAGGAGAGAGAAGAGGGGAGACAGAGAATGGAGATGGAGAGCAAAGAAGAGACAGGATTGTTTGAACTCTTACAAAAATTTATTAACAAATAATTATTAAGAATGAAATGTACTACACATTCAAGAGAATGAATGTGTAACTTGAACTGTACATGTAACAGATTTGCATTGAATAAATATACTAGACATTGGAATGTACAGTTATCTTTACAATCAATATTTCAGTACCAGGGTCCCGTTCCTCAATTCGACCGTAGCGCTACGACAGTCGTTAGTCTGTTAGTCACCTTAGCCCTACGATCGCTTTCTCGAACGGGGCACATGCATAGCTGTCGTATTCGCAAAGGAAATTGCCTACAAATAAGTGTTGTAACATTGAAAGCACTGTGTCTTCATTTCTGGTGTCTCCCGCCGTGATGTCTGCCTTTTTTCATATCAGAATGTAGCAGCTATATATATTAGTTCATTTATTTTTCTACATGACAATAGATGTTTCAATCGGCGCGTTAAGAGAAAGTCATTGAAATCATTTTTTTAAGTAGTCACTTATTCGTAATACTCAACACCGCTCCAACATTGCTGCACTTTTGTATCGGATGAATGAATCCAAGCGGCTGCATGTGCTATTAATTAGATCTAGAGTGTAACGTCACAACAACCTCGCAGAGGTAATACTATGACGTCATCAGCAGTTTGACGTCACTTTACATTTGGCGCCACGTCAGTTGGCGAACCTCGGCTTAGTCCGAGGTCACAGAGTGCAGCGAGATGTAAACAAACAGTTTGTTGTTGACTGTTTCACGATTAATGATAAAATTATGGCACATAATTAAAACAGAACTACATGACGAGATGCAGGGTTCATGTACCAACGATATATCATCAATATTTACAGTCAACAATATCCTTACCTGATCATGTAAAGTTCCATAAACAACAAAATGTCTGAAAATGTTCTCAACAAGTTTTATTTTTCCTCAAACACAACAAATATTCTCACCTTCATACTGAATTATACATACCGCAACGACGCAACGACGTGAACGGCACACACCACTGTCTACATCAACACTACATTCACTTCACTGTGTACCACGTGACACCAGGAGATCCGACAGTTGATGATGTCCCCCTCCTCCTGCCACGGCAGCCGCCGTCTTCCCGTAGTTGTTCCTGACGTTGATGTCCACCCCGTTCAGAGACAGGACAAACTCCACTGTCTTCCTGTCTCCTCCCATACAGGCGCAGTGAAGGATGTTGTTACCGTCATCGTCCACCAGTGACACATCAGCACCTCGACTCACAAGGAACTCCACCACATCCCTGTGTCGCCTCACTGCTGCCACCATCACCGGTGTCCTGCTCCCCAGTCCTCTACAGTTGATGTCCACCACGTCCAGAGACAGGACAAGCTCCACTGTCTTCCTGTCTCCTCCCAGACAGGCGCAGTGAAGGATGTTGTTACCATCATCGTCCACCAGTGACACATCAGCACCTCGACTCACAAGGAACTCCACCACATCCCTGTGTCGCCTCACTGCTGCCACCATCACCGGTGTCCTGCTCCCCAGTCCTCTACAGTTGATGTCCACCACGTCCAGAGACAGGACAAGCTCCACTGTCTTCCTGTCTCCTCCCAGAGGAAGCAGTGAAGGATGTTGTTACCGTCATCGTCCACCAGTGACACATCAGCACCTCGACTCACAAGGAACTCCACCACATCTCTGTGTCGCCTCACTGCTGCCACCATCACCGGTGTCCTGCTCCCCAGTCCTCTACAGTTGATGTCCACCACGTCCAGAGACAGGACAAGCTCCACCGTCTTCCTGTCTCCTCCCACACAGGCGCAGTGAAGGATGTTGTTACCGTCATCGTCCACCAGTGACACATCAGCACCTCGACTCACAAGGAGCTCCACCATATCCCTGTGTCGCCTCACTGCTGCCACCATCACCGGTGTCCTGCTCCCCAGTCCTCTACAGTTGATGTCCACCACGTCCAGAGACAGGACAAGCTCCACCGTCTTCCTGTCTCCTCCCACACAGGCGCAGTGAAGGATGTTGTTACCGTCATCGTCCACCAGTGACACATCAGCACCTCGACTCACAAGGAGCTCCACCCCATCCCTGTGTCGCCTCACTGCTGCCCACATCACCGGTGTCATCCCGCCCACAATTCTACAGTTGACGTCAGCCCGACCTGTGTACAGGATCCTCTTCATCTTCGCCAGGTTGCCCTCCATGCAGGCGTCACGGAGGTCGGCGTCTGCCCGGGTGTCTCCACGTGCGGGAGTCGGTGTCGCTGTAACACAAAGTACACAGGTCGGACATCTTCATCTTACAGCTACATTGTTCACATATTACACTGATGATACAAAACACTTGATACATCATCTATACAGTATGGCTGACAACAACATGGCGGATGTACAGGGGATCACAACAACTGACAGCAACATGGCGGGTATACAGGGAATCACAAGAACTAGTTGATGTTTTTCACATATTAATGGAGTAGAATGTCATTTAAGAGTTCTAACACAGTTTTGTGTGTGTGTGGAGAGTGGTCTGCCCACTACAACACATGTGACATTGTCTCCACCCACCTCGTGTGTCAGGTCTGGAGGGGGTTCCATACATCGGTGTGTCCCCCTCTCCTCTCATTAGTGTATAAGTGGTGGCACTGATGCAAGTATTGAATGTATTCTGATATTATATACATTGAATGTATACTGACAATATATACATTGAATGTATTCTGACATTATATACATTGAATGTGTTCTGACATTATATACATTGAATGTATTCTGACATTATATACATGGAATGTATTCTGACATTATATACAAAGGGTATTGTGCTGATTAGGTGTATCCCCGCTGAAGTTACAGAGGACAGAAAGATGTATATCAACTACATCATTGTAAAGAATATATGCTATATGAAGTGATAATTTCACAAACCATAAATCTCTCCACTAGATGACACAAGGGTTGTTTTTGAAACAGAAAAAGCTTTCTTACACATCTGATGAGCTGACAATATATCATGTGTAGTATTATTGTATACACAATGCGACTAGCACATCTGGTCCACAATATTCCCCCACCTACCGTGTACATCAGACTCCTGTGAAGACCCAGGTATCAGTGCTATCCCCTCGCTCCAGGCTGCAACACAGAATATGTCATGTAGAATACTTCAACACAGAAGATGTCATGTAGAATACTTCAACACAGAATATGTCATGTAGAATACTTCAACACAGAATATGTCATGTAGAATACTTCAACACAAAGTGGTTCTCGTCAGAGACGTGCAGGAGTTGACATGGAAACAACTACACCAGTGCACCAGTACTGTTGCTAAACATATGTTCAGGGTATTATTCATGATGCAGGTAGATGGTCTTGAGTGATGGTTCTTGGGTGGTTGTAACACGCCATTCCAGTAAGTCGCTGTGTCTTTGTTCAGTTTAAAAATGATTTTAAAAATATAAAATTGTCATTTTATTTATTGATGAGGTTATTTAAAAAGTACGTGGGTCAACTAAGAAAATAATTCTAACAAATCCACCTTAGATAACATCATATACGTAAAAACATAACACTACCCACCACTATCGCCCTGGTTGGATCCCGCTTCTCGCCTCCCGCACTCTATCTGTGTTTCCGAGACAGGTGCTGAAAATAACAATATAATATGTTGATTTGTGTGTATGGTATTTCTTTCCACCCATTCTCATGGAAGTATGTACCTGCAGTCTCCAAAATGACTCACTGGTGGAATGGAAGTGTCTGGGTTCGAGTCTGGCAGAAGGGGGTTCGTGAGCTCAAATGGCTTGGACTTTATACACTTGTCATATTACTGTCGTATTTTCTAAATAATGCAAATAATGAAAATGCTGCATACGCAGTCAACGTGACGCTCACCCAGTGTTTGCTTCCATTAGTGCTATTATTTGAAAACTCGGGCGAATGTTCGAACTGACTGACATGGTTTACTATGATCAAGCCTAGAAACCGGATCTCAAAGTTATTCATAAACACGCACACCTGTACATCAATTTTGGACAATTACCCGTAAGTAGGTGTCACGTAGTCGCGTGTTGTATCCTCATCAGTGACAGCCTTCGAGACCACATTTCAAACAGACAGTGTTTCTCGTGTACTGACGAAAACCTTTAGAAAATAAAGGCCAGGCAGACCTTGTGTGTACTAAAATTGCCTCGGTTGTCGAGAACTACACACTTGTCTCAATATTTCCTCAGACAATGAAAGCAATAGTTTACTGGTTTTTTTCCTTCAGTAACAACAATAAATCAAGGAAAATATCTACGATACACAGAACAAGTTGGTGAATTGTAAGTGCTGTCGTCAATCGTGATGGACCCATCCATACTTACATACAGAGAGTGAGCTGAGTTTTACGCCGCACTCAGCAATATTCCAGCTATATGGCGGCGGTCTGTAGATAATCGAGTCTGGACCAGACAATCAACAGCACGAGCATCCATGTGCGCAACTGGGAACCGATGACATGTGTCAACCAAGTCAGCGAGTCTGACCACCCTTAGTCTCCTCTTACGACAAGCATAGGTTACTACAGGCTAATATTCTAGCCCGGACCTTCACGGGTCACTTACATACAGCCTGTACACTGTTTACACATACGTGTATAGTGTAATACATACATATGTACACACATAATCAACACATACGTGTATAGTGTAATACATACATATGTACACACATAATCAACACATACGTGTATAGTGTAATACATACATATGTACACACATAATCAACACATACGTGTATAGTGTAATACATACATATGTACACACATAATCAACACATACATAATGGCTACAAACTGTCGCAAATAAAGATTACAACATAAACAGGAAGAGTTGAAACCTGATGTCTGGTTTGAACAATTTTGGAGTTATTAACATGTGTTTGGTCCCGGTGTCCGTATGAAACAAGTATCTGCTGCCTTATCCCTACAGTAGTTGTTGTCTATCTGGCTCTGTTCACAACCTTATCTATTTCCCTAATAGTTCTAAAAGTATGATTAACAAACTTACCCCACTACTGTCCTCACACAACAGACACATCTCACTGCCAGCCTGGAAATGCCCTGACTAGCGACACTAGTCACGCCACGGGGCAAGCTATGACGTGGCTTATTGGAAACATGACAGAATTTGGCGCTCACTTGCTCATTCAGACCCGTGTCAGTTATACTTCCATACACTTACATGCTAGTTTAGTGTTGAATAAATAATTTTCATGAATTAAATTTTCGTATGATCCAAGTCAAATTTTGCACATTTGTGAGGAACCATCTTACATACAATCACATAACTTCAGTTTACTTTTCCGTTGCTTATCTATCAAATGGCAACAATTTAATCAACATATGTAAACACCAGGTGAACAAAAATGTTGAACATATCTTTTGGTTGTGAGTAGGATATTGTTAATGGATGTAATTCTATTTGCCCATTTGACATCACCAGCTGTTGCCGGGAGAAGCTATGGTTTGACAGTCATAACATGATGTAACATCGAGAAAGCCCACGTTAGTAATTAGGGCCCCTTGCCTCTGGGCAGGAGACCTATTGTAATCATTCGGATTATTATTATTATTTATTATTCCGCCGATTTTTGTACCAAACCTAACTCCTAAACCAATGCTCCGAATCACTTACCGAAAATCACACAGATGCGCACCGAGGTGTAGATATTCCCCTTACAAATCAGTAGTGTACAACGTCTCCCTGGGCCCTTTTTCAAGATGGCGGCACTTCCGGTCACGCGATCCAAGATGGCGGCCGCGATTCAAGATGGCGGACACGACCCAAGATGGCGGACGCGTTTCAAGATGGCGGCCGCGTTTCAAGATGGCGGACGTGTTTCAAGATGGCGGACGCGTTTCAAGATGGCGGACGCGTTTCAAGATGGCGGACGCGTTTCAAGATGGCGGACGCGTTTCAAGATGGTGGACGCGTTTCAAGATGGCGGGGTGGGTTTCAAGATGGCGGACGCGTTTCAAGATGGCGACGGACGGGGAAGGAGAGGAAAGGAGAGGGAAGGAGGGAGGGAGGGAGGGTGGGTGGTGAGGCAGGGACGATGATGTAGGCCGCGATGTAGGCCTAGATCAGTGTGTGTGTGTGTGTCTGGTTAAAAAAAGCTTTGGATGTAGCATTCTTTCGAGCGAGGTGGGTGGCCCTGAAGAGGACCTTTGGTATGGATGGGTGAGAGATCACCGAGGTATCTAGTGTGGTGATGGCGGTGCACTGGAGGCAGTGCTGCTGGAATCGTCCATGGGTTCGACAAACTCCAAGATGCGTTGAAGTAGAGAGTACATGGTGTCTATGCGATCTTGAACGAGGAGTACCTTGTCATGGAGTAGAGCCAGCAGATGTTGGCTTTCACGTTTACTCACTTTCTTTGGCGGTTCACTTGACTGGTGGGTGGATGCCGGGCGTTTCTGGGTCTTGTTAGAGCAGTTCATACTCTTATGGTCCTCTTTACCACAGTGACGGCAGGGATGTGGACAGGCGTTACTGAGATGACCTTCGTTTTTTCCACAGTTGTAGCAGGTGTTGTTATCGTGCTCGTTGTTGTCCTTGGTCTTCTTGGGACATACGTAATGGCGATGACCTTGAGCACCACACTCGGTACAGGCCACCTTGGGGCAGTGTAGATAACTGTGGTCATCTGTTTCGCACAGGCGGCAACGGAAGGAGGCAGAGGCTGGACACGTCTGCATGCTTCTAGTTTCAGTGAGCAACTGATGGGGAGCACTGGAAAACCTTGAATTTATATAGATGGGGTTGATGACGTCACTTTGACGCATCTGGTTCGCACTGGTTGCATCCGGTTCGCACTACTCTAATCCTGACTCAACAGGTCAATAGGCTAGTGTGACGTCATGGAGTATGTCATCATTCCTATAAATAACAAATGAGCTCATGGTGCGCACTGTCACGTTTAGGACGGCCTATTGTGACGTCATAGGGTGACGTGACCTATATAAACCAGACTCAGTGTGGGTCTTACCAGTTCTCACCATGCCGTCACCACGAATGAACGAGGGTGAACTTGAAGAGGAGCCTGTGCCTTACCAGTTGGAGCGGACGACCCAAATAACCACCAAGAAATTCCGGTCTGATACTCCGCGCTACAACCTCAAGTTCAATCCAGTTTGGCTGCAGCGTCAACAGCCTGAAGACCTCTCCGTCGTGCTCAGAGAACAGTTTGATGCAGTGTTAGCATATTTGAGGGACGATGTGGGTGGTCAGGATGGTGATCGCGTGGGATTGGCCCTGGAACACCCAGCCCTGGATACACCCATCCGAATCACGTTTCGGCGGATGGGTGACCTGCAGGGGGAACACATCATGGCCGAAGTGGAAAAAGTACAACAAAGCAACCACGACTTACATATCGATGACACCATGGAAATTTTCTTACTGCATGTAGAGGATCCGGCTCTCCTAGGTCAGGGACACGGCCGGGCAACACACCTTGTTGGGTTAAACACTTTCCTGGAAAAGAAACAATGCATCGTTTAAATCAAGAATGAGGATCAGCTCTGCTTTGCCCGTGCCCTGGTCGTGGCCAGCCACCATGCACACAAACCCGATTCTGTGACCAAGGAATGGACGAAGGAATGGCGGTACATACGTAAGGAAGAAAGACCAGCGCAGTTGAAAGCCACCAAGGGCTTATGTCGCCAACTCAAGATCCCCGAAGGGCCTTGTACAGGACATGCCACGTGGGAGTTGTTCAGTCAACGTTTGGCACCTTACTATCAGCTCAAAGTCTACTCCCAAGATAAGATGAATCGTCTCCTGTACAAGAGTGAAGTGGCTCAACCCACCAAGATCCTTCGCCTGTATCATCACCATCACCATTACGATGTCATTACATCTATGCCAGCTTTTACAGGTTATTCCTACTATTGTGAAACTTGTGACCAAGGATACGCCCACGCTGAAGATCATGGCTGCACCCGAGAATTTCAATGCCACTGGTGCCAATGTCTTGTATACTGTGGCGACGTGGACAATGAAGGACTCTCCTGTCTCCAATGTGGCGGGTGGTTCCGAAACCCTACCTGCTTTCAACGCCATCGGACGGCCTCCGCCAAGCATCCCAGCACCTGTTCCACCACCCACACCTGTCATCGATGTCTGGCCAAAGTCAACGTGAGAAAAATCCAGGGCATGGCCAACCACCAGTGTGGCACGAATCGTGACTGCAAGATCTGCAAAGAACCCTTGAAACCCAACCACCAGTGCTACATGTCCGTCATCGAACCACCGAAACAAAATGAAGACGGTGAAAAAATGGATGAAGACAAAGAACGACAACAGCGTCAGTTCATCTTGTACGATTTTGAATGTACTCAAGATCAAGGGACTCATGTTCCCAACTTGTGTGTGGTGCATCTAGGATGTGGAAAATGTATTTCCGAGGCCTCGGATCAACTGTGCGAAAAGTGTCCCTGGCGTAAAGAAGGAGAAGGGCCTAGCCGCATCAAAGTGTTTCGGGGATCTACGACCTTGAAGGACATGGGCGACTGGCTGATGCGTCTGGCGGAAAAGAAAGAGAAGCAGAAGAAGAAACGTAAGGCATCCCAGCAGCAGCCGTCAGGCCGTGCCTCGAAA